AAAAATTGAACTCAACCTACATTCGGCAAATTGTATTCCTTATTTAAAATTTAAAAAAAAATTGAATTCCGTTAATTTCCAAATCCTACATTCGGCCAATACACACCTCCCACAAACTATATCCAAAAAATTCAACTAAACATAATACCCACGGTTGGAATTAGAGAGTAGAATTCAAAAATTCAAATTTCAAAACACAAAATTCAAAATTGTACAGAGTTGAGAAAACAACCTCGGCTTCAAGCTTCGCAATATACGTGATGAGCGCCGCCTTGTCCCTCCGCTTAATCGATTCTTCGTCAAAGCCGGCTTCTTTAAGGCGCTTCCAGATCGTTTCATCGCTGACAGAGCCAGGGCTCTGCAAAATCCTAGAGCCCGGAGTTATTGAGAGAGCTCTGGCGGAACTCGGCGTCCTCCCGAAGGGTTCCGACTGTGGAGACGCCATTACGATGTCGGATCACGGGTTCAGTACCACGAAACGAAACCCTAGATTCTCTCTCAGCACCTTTTGATCTCCCACTCCTCAGCTTTTTCTTGAACTTTCCCTCTCCTCACTCACTCTCTTTTTCGAAGCGTAGTTCTTTCTTCTTCCTCTCTCTCTTTATCTATCTCTCCTCTCTCTGCTTTTTGGATGCCTTTGTCCCGTGCGTTGGGTCAGCAGAGCTTTTTACTCTTTGGACTGTGTTGGGTGAGCTTTTGTATGATAGGAGAGCCGACGTCGTTTAAAGAGGGTATTGGTAATTAAGCCGCCTTTTATTTCTCCGATTAGCGGCACAAATTGTGATTTAATATTCTATTTACTTTGGGAATGTGACGTGCGAGACGGGATCCCACTCTTCCAATAGAAGCTAACTGGAGTCAACTTTCCACGTCATCAATTTGGTTAAATGTTATTTAATTTGGATTTTCAACATTTTTTTTAACTATCTACACTAGTCTCGCAATGAACTAGCACTAATGTGATTCAAATTCGCATTTGGTAAGAAATTGAATTTAAAACCTATCACTTACATGTGAAGAAGAATATCATTAGACCGTAATACTAAGTGGCTAGATTTTCAACATTTAGTAGAAAAGAAAAAAAATGATATCCTTTCTAATGAATAGCGAATTCGATGCCAAATTAGGCTGCTTATTGTGTGGCTTAGCTGACATCTCCCTCTTCTTAGTATAAAAATATCGATGTACTAAAAAGAATAAAAGATATTCCACGACAATTGATGACAGACTAATTTTTTCTCTCCATGTAACCCATATACCACTTGAGACTGCAACATATTTTCAGCACTCATATCAACCGCTAAAATAGTGTTTGATACACCAAATAAATATATGCGCAGAAGATAAAACTCGAATTGAATGTCTAAATCTTTGTTTGGTTTCTAATATACTAACCCCTCAAGTTCACGAATTTAATATGTAATGTCAGCAGAAAGAATGGGGGCTCTAGGGTTTATGGGTAAGAAGGATTGGGGAAAGGAAATAAATTAGGGTTGAGTATTTAGAGAAAATAAAAACTTTGTTCAATAAAGGGATTAGATGGTCTCCGATCATAAGTTCGAAGAGGGTTATACAAATCGTCGGCAATGAGCCCTTTCAGTTGGATTAGCAGGTTATTTAGATGTCTGCAATCTACTCGTGCAAAAGTCCTTCAATTTGACTGGTTGTGGGAGGTGTGTACCTTGTAGTGTTTAGGGTTCTATATGGTTGAGAGTATTAAACGACAATTGAGTAGGATTATTGGTTTTGATTCAATTGACTGGGGGCTGGAACTTGACTTGCCTGAATATGTTTGCTGGTATTTGTATGCTTAATCACCAGAATGTAGTGACTCATGAAGGAAGTACCGGACCTTTTTTGTTTATGTGAAGCTAAAATGAATTTGGATAAGATCCCTAGGAACTTCCATGACAAAGTTTTTGATATGGTGTTTTGTTGTAATCCCACTTCAAGGGCTGGTGGGTTATGCTTCATTGGTGATTCCAATAATCTTGTGGATGTGTCAAAAAAAAGAGGAGGTTGTCAAAATACGACGACTTACATGAACAATTTTATTAACTTCTTGAATAAGAGAAACCTTATATCGTTGAATATGATGAGAGTTCCTTATACTTTGATGTAACGGTCACTCTAATGGTACTAGAATCTATGAAAAACTTGATCAAGGTATTGTTAACATTTACTGGCTAACTAAGTACTCTGATTACAATCTTCATAATTATCCAATTTATGGTTCTAATCATGGCCACATTCTGTTAACCTACGACATGATTAATGAAATTAAAATAACCCCTTTTAAATTTGGAGCAGTGTGGCTTCTTCTTCCCGAGTTCAAGGATTTTGTTAAAAATGCATGGCGTTGTAATGGGGAGTTTGCCCCAATTGATAAATTTAGGACATGTGCTGCTAAGGGTGGGTTCGGTTCAATTTTTTTTCGGTTTGGTTTTTTCCGGTTCGGTTTCGATTTATTTTCAAAAAACGAAAAAATTTGAAATCTTAAATTTTAACATATCCAACACAATCATAACATAAATATTCCGACTAGACTTAGAGATAATGAAAATAAACATTTAAAGTTCAACTAGAATTATAACATAAAGGTTTTTTTTTTTAATATTTTGGGTTTAAAGTTTAACTGTAAATAGATTTCTTTTTAGACGATGATGATGGAGTACGACCTTATTCATTCCTCTCTCTCTCTCTCTCTCTCATAAACATTCTATAATATACTATTTATTTTGATTATTGTCTAGGTAACAATTTTTGATATTTTCTTTATCTTTATGGTCCGAATTTTTTTTATCCATATATATGGTTACATAATATAATTTCTACATTATGTGTTCAGCTTCTCCCACCAGCAAATTTTGAAGAGGTGTTCATCAATATTTTTGATATATTGATATACTTTTCAAAATTGTTAGGCCACGGAAGCTACTATACTTGGCCATAGGTGAGAAAGTTTGAATTTTGTTTTTGATCTCGTAGTTTTTAATAAACTCATGAGACTTTTATACGTTGTTTGCTTTCCCTAATCAACTGCAGTGCAGTTGAGATATGTGTTCTTATATACGTGTTACACTTAATGATATAAACTAGATATATTGCATGTAATGGTATAAGTTCTAATTTTTGTTGTAGATGTAGAAGCTGAGAAGACAAATTGAATTGGAAAGTGTTGATGCACAAAACCGGAGGTCTTGGAACAACGTAAATCCGACCGTGAATCTACATGAAATGTAAATGACACAAGATGTATAATGGTTTACCCCAAGGTTAGGGCTACGTCCACACTGATTGTATTTATCTGAGAGTATTTATGAGGGAGAGAGTGTGAGAGCTTTGCTCTAGATAGGAGAGACTTAGGGTTTGTGAGGGTGAGGATGACCTTTTATAGAATAAGGGCTCCTCCCCTAATTACATATTTGCCCCTTCCTTTATTACATAATTACATTTAAGTCCCCGGAGTATTTATACAAGGTCTAAATACGAGGCCCTAAATATGGTATAAACAGTAGTCCCCCAAGTCTTCAATCAAAAGAGTCTTTTGGCTGGAGACTTGAAATTCAGTCCATGTGTGGGCCGAAGTAACTAGATGTTGTCTTGAACTGATGCTCGATATGAGGCAGTGCTCAATCTGAAATGACGCTCAACTAGAAGTAGCACATGCTGCGAGGCTGCTCGGCTCGTGGCTTATGTTGCCTTAGTTGGCTCGGCTTGCGGCATTTGAAGGTGAGGGAGTCCCTTTTATAGAATAAGGGCTTGCTCCTCAATACATGAATGATAGTCTAGAGTTGATGCTCTCTAATGATGGTGAGGGAGTCTCTTTTATAGAATAAGGGCTCGTTCCTCAATACATAAATGATGGGCTAGAGTTGATGCTCGCGGCGAGGCGGTTGCTCAGTAGGTGGCGATGCTCTCTAATGGTGGTGAGGGAATCCCTTTTATAGAATAATGGCTCGCTCCTCAGTACATGAATAATGGGTGCTCTCTAATGAAAGTGAGGGAGTCCCTTTTATTGAATAAGGGCTCGCTCCTCAATACATAAATAATGGGCTAAGTCCCACAAGTATTTTTCATGAGGCCTAGTTGAGGCCCAATTGAGGCCCAATATATGGTACATAATGTAGTCCCCCAAGTCTTCGGTCAATAGAGTCTGTTGGCTGGAGACTTCAAATTGAATCCATGTATGGGCCGAAGTGGCAGTTGTTCAAAGGTGGTATTTGTATACCCTGCACTGAAGCTTTGTAGGTGAAGCTTTGCAAGTGAAGCTTTGAAGTTAGAGTTCTGTAAATGAAGCTTTCGAAGCTGGAGCTTTTGTAAATGAAGCTTTTGAAGCTAGAGCTCTGTAAATGAAGCTTTTGAAGCTGATTGACATGAGTGATGCTCATGGATGTTGTCATGAGTGATGCTCATGGATGTTAACATGAGTGATGCTCATGAATGTTGACATGAATGATGGTCATGAATATTTATGTATGATTGTCATGAGTGATGCTCATGAATGTTTATGTATGAATGACATGAGTAATGCTTATGTATAATTTGGAGTACTGTACGTACTTTTGATCACCTGGTTGGTGGCATGAAGGAGAGTACGGGTTGTACATTTCATCCCCTGGTTGATGGCATGAATGGCTAGTTGCCAAATGATATTAGAGTACGGGTTGTACATTTGATCACCTGGCTAGCGATAATAGCGACGGGTTGCCGAATAATTGTGGAGTACTGGGCGTACTTTTAATCACTTGGTTGGTGGTAATAGCGGCGGGTTGCCGAATAATTATGGAGTACTGAGTGTACTTTTGATGACCTGGTTGGTGCTATTTCGAGCTTATGGGCTTTCGTCCTCCACAACATGCCAGCCCATTTGTTTTGGGCTTTGCCGTTTTTTTTTTTTTGATCCTTTGATGGGGTTTGTACATATTACCCTCTTATAGGGTTTATACAGATGTTTCCGAAAGATAATAAAAATAACTTACATTATTCTGGTGGTGTGTTTATTTCTTGCTTTTGCATGCTCCCCTTTTGCTTTCTCTTTTCCCTTTCTTTTTCTTTTTCTGCGTAGGCGCAGTGGATTTTGATCTAAATCTGCCAATAGTATTGCTTCTGTCAATGCTTTTGCTTTTCTTCTTTGTGAGCACATGACCCTTCCAGATATGGTTTGGTGTCGTCTTTGAAGATGTCTTCTCTCTTTGCTTTCTGCTTTTGTTTCCCATGTGCTCTCGATGAGAGCCTCTGTTTTTCTTTCTCTTTTTGTGTTGTCCCCTATGTGCTCCCCCATGATTCTCCATTTTTCTTTTTCTTTTTCTTTTGCATCTCTCTCTTTCGGCCTGGTTGCTGCTAGGGGTGCCTGGAGTAGCAGAGAAATCCTCCAATTCAGCAGCTTTTTCTTGAGTAAGGGAAACAACACTTTCAGGAAAGTTTGCAAACTCTGCAACCTGAATACCGAAACTTTGATCACAAGCTCCTGGCTCAACCTTGTACAGCATAGTTAACTTACGGCTTGATGAGTCAATATGCGCATTGACATGATAGTTTGCTACGCCAACAATTTGCTTCATACTAGCTTCTTGAACGCCATTTTCATGAGCTAATTCAACTAATTCATGGAAGCGGGTTGCAAACAACGTAGGTGCTTTAATCACTTCAACAAGGTGTTCACAAATGGCCCAAGCTAAACCGAATCCATCATAAGTTGAAGTCCCTCGGTTTAATTCATCGATGATTATCAGTGACTTGTCTGTAGCTCATTTCAGTATAGATGCAGTCTCAAGCATTTCTTGCATAAAGGTAGAAACCCTACGTAGTTGGCAGTCACCAGCTCCCACCCGTGCAAAAATGCAATCGCTAACAGAAATATTAGTTGCTTCACAAGGAATGAAACAACCAACTTGTGCAATATTTGGCGTGACTGGAATAGCAGAGAAATCCTCCAATTCAACAGCTTTTTCAGCATCTGCAGGTGGAATAGCAGAGAAATCCTCCAATTCAACAGCTTTTTCAGCATCTGCAGGTGTTTGGTTCTTGTGTGAGGTACGGCGCGAAGGGGGTCAGGTGGCTCTGCTGGTTCTGCTCATTGGAGAAGTCAAGCAAGTCGTGCAGGGTCTCCAGAAGGTTGGGATCAAACCCCATGTTCCTCAAGCTCATACCCTGGTTCATCACCTCCATACTCGTGACAAAGATGATCAGATACAAAACTCATTTGACAGCTGTTTGTGTGGTATGTTCTTCACTTGTTCCGTGGAGATGGAGATCGATTGTTTTTTTCCCTGAGGGTAGTAAAGTCCCAAAGCGGGAAAAGTGTCAGCGAGTCAAACCCGAACCTTAGCTCAATGCAGGTTTTCAACTCGTCGAGGTCTTCGTTAACGATGTTTTTGCTTCGCTGGAGGTTCAATATGTCGTTGATTTTCTTGCAGCGGTGTCCTACCTCGTCGTTGTGTGCATCCGGGGACCATGATCACTGCTTGTAAAGCGGTGGAGGAGGAGACGGCATGTGGGGTTCAGACATGGGTGTAGCAGCAGGTGGCCTTTCAGCACGGCTTCAACGGTGACTTGGCAGAGCTGCCAACTCATTTAAAGGGTCTTGAGAATCTGGAAGTTAAACCAACCCAAGAAATTAAAATGGTATTTAGTGAGTTGGATCAGTAGTTGAAGTTGAGCTTAGCTTTGCATTGAATTATTCATATCTGATTTGAGCCAGACATGGAAGGTGAAAGTAAGCTTCTCGTGTGCATTGTGAAATGAGCATTCAAAATTGAGGTGTAGCTCATTGAATGCTTTCCTATGTGAGAGGAGAGAGAGAGATGGAATGGTTTCTTGAGTTTTTCTGGGAAAGCTTTGGGTTGTTGGGTTTTTTGCAGATTCACAGTGGTGAGGTTTGATGAAAAAATGAAAGGGTACCGACATAGTTTTTTGTGTCGATTCCCACAGACAGCGCCAAATGTTGATGCACAAAACCGGAGGTCTTGGAACAACGTAAATCCGACCGTGAATCTGCATGAAATGTAAATGACACAAGATGTATCATGGTTCACCCCAAGGTTTGGGCTACGTCCACACTGATTGTATTTATCTGAGAGTATTTGTGAGGGAGAGAGTGTGAGAGCTTTGCTCTAGATAGGAGAAACTTAGGGTTTGTGAGGGTGAGGAGGCCCTTTTATAGAATAAGGGCTCCTCCCCTAATTACATATTTGCCCCTTCCTTTATTACATAATTACATTTAAGTCCCCCGAGTATTTATACGAGGTCTAAATACGAGGCCTTAAATATGGTATAAACAGAAAGCAAACAAGTCCTACCAAAGCACCAGTCCGAAGTATCATATTCTAATATAATAAAATCAAATAATTAAATAAATAAAATTAAAAAATATTAATTTAATTATTTCGGTTCGGTTCGGTTCGGTTCTGTTTCTAGACCACCAAAACCGAACCGAACCAAAAGAGTTCGGTTCGGTTCGGTTTTCGGTTTTTTTCGGTTTTCGGTTTTTTGAACCCACCTCTATGTGCTGCTACTTTTAAGTATCTTGTGAAAAGCCGGAATAAAATAGCGCTTGGTAATTTAAAGGAACACAAGAAAAAGATCCTAAGTTCTCTTAGTGAGGTGCAAGAAACGATTATGAAGAATCAAATCATTGATAGAGTGCTGCAGGTGGAGAAGAAGCTTAGTGATGAGCTAAAAATACTAAAACAGGAAGAAACCATGTCGGCACCAACTAGGGGTAAAAATACAAGATATTAATCACAGTAACATTCCTCTTATCCCAAAGTGGAAAACCTTGAACTAGTTATAGACCTATAAGTCTTTGTAAAATGTTAGTTACAAGATAATTACCAAAGTTATTATTAAGAGGTTGAACTTCTTAATCTTTATATTTTGGGTAATTAAGGGGTTTTTGCTCCTAGACGTTCTATTCATGATAATATTCTCATTGCTCATGAGATGTTTTCCAATTTTAAAAGTGAAGAAAGGCGGGATGGGAGTGATGGGGATTAAATTGGATTTGGAGAAAACGTATGATTATCGAAATTAGGAGTTCATTGGGTATGTTCATCGCGTATGTCCTTCTTAGATTCAGTTTTAAGAAAATGTGGGTGAACCTGATTATGGAACGTATTTCATCTATCTCTTTCTTGATTGTGGTAAATGGCTCTAGTCATTGTTACTTTTACCCCAAGAAAGGAATACAACAAGGTGATCCCCTCTCACCTTATATTTTCATTCTTTGCATGGAATCGTTAATTAGACATTTTAATATTTTGGCAAGCAATCCTAAATCGCATGTAGGAACTCTGTTATCCCCTAGTGGATTTAGAATTTCAAATCTAGTGTTTGCAGATGATTGTTTATTGTTTGCTAACGAGGAATGTTCTGAACACATTAAATATGTTTGCTAAGCCTCAAGACAAGAAGTAAATTTTCATAAGCCCTATCTTTATTTTTCAAGTAATACCAATGCTCATATGACTGCCATTGCGGACATTCTGCATATTCAGCACAAAACAACTATTATTCTTGTTCAAAATAGAAGCGACCGTTCTCAATAAAGTTGGCAACTTGGATCGAGAGCCATAACCATCAGGATGTAAGCAGACATAAGTTACTGAAGAAAATTGTGGAAGTTGATGATTCCCCCAAAGGCAAATTTTTTGTGTGGCTCCTTATATGTGGAAAATTACATACTAGAATTCGGCTGAGTAAAATTTGTTAGGAATATTGATAAAATGTGCCCTCTATGTGGCAATGGTGGTGAGAATGAAGATCATTTGTTCCTTAAAGGTCATTACGTGAAAAATGATCTAGAACCTTTCTCGAGTGAGTCCATGGAATAATAATTCGGTGCAATTTGACAATGTTATGGAATTCTGGGGGTGGAACCAGTACCCCGCATCTCATTAGATGGCATCCCCTCCTCCTGGTTTTATTAAACTAACTTTGATGGTTTGGTCATTTGGAGATGGCGACTGCTGCTTTTGTTCTAAGGAATGAGAAGGGGAAACCGGTCGGTGCTGATGCTTTTATTCTTGATGGCACTACTATCTTAGTTGTGGAGGCCATTGCTTTAAAGGAAGACCTTTTGTACACCAGGCGCAACGGTATAAAGAACATAATGGCGGAAGGGGACTCTAGGTTGGTCTTTGAATTTCTTTATGTAAGGTGAAACCATATCTTCAAGGAAGCAAACTTTGTGACTTTAGCTCACTTTGGCCTAACCATAGCAAATCCATATTTTTGGGAGTATTGTTTACCGAATTCTGTTATGGAGGCCTTGAATTTTGATTATATGGAAAACGGTTGTATTTGAGGTTTCAAGTTTTAGTAAATTTTTACTAATCGGCTTTTATTCATTGAATGGCTATCAATTTTTTTTTTTAAAGTTTATTATTATTAAGACGAGGGGGAAAATTTAGAACTATTACAATAATTTAGGAGTGAGGAGTTTCGAACCTATGGCACATGGGTAAAAACCAAACATCCTATCTACTAGGATATTGGACCACATGCTCATTATTCGACAATCATAATTTTCTTGGATCATAGGGTCTAAGAGAGTGAAATTGTTATGCTAAAATACACAAATAGTTCAAATTATATTGTAAATATAGAGGTTATTTACGGTGCTTCACAGTAGCAGATACGCAAGGTCTTTTAGTCGTTAGATGCTTAGTTAGAAACACAGCAATTAGAAGTGTGGGGTTAACGGGCAACGAGGATTCATAATTTTCTTACTTAGTATTTTTCTCGTACACGCAATTTGCAAAGCACAAATAACCCCCTTGTAATAATTAATTTACGTTAGACCTCTAATAAAGTGATTAGACTATTGGTAATGATCAATTAATCATCAAAACAATAATCCAATTCCAAGTGGCTACGAGTTCATGCATGCACATCCCATAATTTCTAATAGGGTTTCTCTCCAACCCAATTTCCTGGCGGATCATAGTTACATATGATGAGCTCCCCGGCTCCATTTCTGCAAACCTCTCGTGCACAACCCAGACGCTTCGTGTCCTTCCACACCATTTGCGTATAATGCCCACACATCTGCCCGGTTTTACAACTATCCGTCTGGTAATCATAGAACAACTTCTCGTGTGACCACGACTTCGCCGCAAACCTCGCCCCCCATGGCTGATTCCCGCCGCCCCAGAAGATGTTCTCCCCGTAAGGCCCCGTTGAGTGTACCATCCTGCAGTCCATGCTCGCTCTCTGTTTCGTGTAAATCCTAGCAACCGCTGCTAGGTTTTCGTCCCACACCAAGGGCGGTAGGCCAATTTTCCGTCGTAAATTGTTGTGAACCTTCAGAAAATCATGAGGGTTCGCTGTCGGAGCACGGCGAATATGATGACGAGCTTGTGCGGCCTCAAGACACATGAAAATGCATACGATAGTTGCTAAAATAGTTACTCGGCTTCCCATTGACGTCATTTTTCTTTGGAATTGTACCTTGATTTGTAAGTTATATAAATAAGCTGATCAGAAGCCTCTCAGGGTTTCTGTTACATTGAGAAACAACAGAAAACTGTTAAGTTGTTTTCTGAAGGGGTCTTTCATTGGTTTCCTATATTATATTGGAAGGGTTTAGCTAATTTTTTGTTTATTAACAATACTCGTTAACGTTTTAGTGTGTTATAACTAATTAACATAATTTACATGTTCTTAGTTTTTGTTAATTAGTGGACTGTTTGTCTTTTTATTTTTATTTTTCATTATTTTTCTCATCGCCGTACAGATAACATATCTTCATCGTATAGATTTCAGAACTCTTCAATTTTTTAATTTTCATTTAAAGATCATACCTACAAAATATCATGCGAAACGGAAATTGTTTATGCATCCGAATTAATAGAACAAATCAATAGTGACTATCAAGTCACATACTCATGATGAACTGTTCATTTATTTGATGAATTTGGATGACAAAACGATTTCCTGATGACTTTTCATAAGGATGATATTCAAATAAAAATTAAGAAAATGAAAGATTCTTATTATAAAATTTATACGGTGAACATATGATATTCGTATTGCAACAACAATATTCCGAATTGTCTATTTTTAAGGTCTAGCATGAAGAATCAAATGGCGTAGCCAAAAAATGCTCTCAATCTAGAAAAGCCAATTCGTTGGACCGTTGAGTAAAAAAGGCAATGCATGTGGCGATTCAGTTCCTATGATTATGTTTGTGGTTATTGGTTAAAATGTCTTTAGAAATTATACTCTAATTGCTACGAAAGTACGTACGAAATTATTGGAGTACGCATGTTTTACTAACCGTGCACATACAACCTTGTTATTGCAGGAAGTTTATCTGCGATAATCATGTCTCCATGGACATGATCAAACCAAACCCGTTCAAGGACGTTGAATTGGCGGTGCTACATGTCAAAATCTGCTTTCCGTTCTTGGTAGAATTTTTCGATCCAGCCTTCTATCAGCTTAATTTCAGTTTCCCTTTGCTCAATCAACCACTTAGGATCGTCTTTTGTCGAAAAACGCAGATCTAAGTGATGCGCACCTGAGAAACAGAAAACAAAAGAATTGTACTGTTAGTAGAAGCAAGAACAGTTAAGAGGCGTCGAGCAATCTGTTGTTTTTCTGAGTGCTCAGGTATGGTTTTGTAAAGCCAACTGTCAAGTGTAGAAGATACCTTCTTCAGCCACAAGAGCGATGATAGTTTCCGATACATTTTGTAGGACACTGTAATAGATATCATTCACAGACATTAGAACTCATATATTTAGTGTTCGACGGCTATAATTGCAAAATTAGATAAAAATACAGTTACCTGCCACCACTCCAAGGATCCAATAAGCCATTGGAGAAAATGATGTTGCTTCCAAACGCTTTCAAGGTGACCTTAATATCCTTCAAATTCAATAGCCAAGAGTACCAGTATCAAACTATAAATTTGAGAAGGAATAAAAATCATCTAAGTAGCTACGGGTACATGCAACAACCCACATTCTTCAGACAGCAGATACGCACATTGCACCGGTGTACTAGTGTGCAAGGTAAAATTCAAGGAAGCAGTTGCTTCAAATTTCTAATATCGAGATTTTAAAAAAATTGTTGTAACAAATGTGAAAACGAGTAATTTAAAAACAGCAGATCGGAAGTTAATCATTGCTCTTGGATAGGTAATATAAATATAATCTAAACTGTACCCAAGGTGTTCAAATTTATGTTGATCCAAATCTATTGCAAGATCAGTACATTGCAGCTCCTTTATTCGAAAAGAAAATCACCCTTCATTACTTTTCTAGCCTGGCATCCTTTATCACCATGCATACGAGGTTACACAATAAAAAAACCACAATGTGACGTAAGAGTAGGAAAATATACAATTAATAAGGGAGAAAAACAAGATCATCATTCAATGAACCAGTACGGCACTATTCACACTATAGTAATTATTATTTAACAGCAACAATGAAATGATCAGATGCTAATAGACTTTAAAGAGGAATAGACAAATAAATTCATAATGAATCATTCTCTTACATGTCCGCCGTATTCTGTTGTGATCCACGTAGGCCTTGGTTTCACATTATAATTCTTCAAGCATTCGTCTTCAAAAGCAGAGAGATTAAAATCATAGGTTGGAAACATGCTGGCATCCCGACCACTAGACATTGGCATAACCATTTCTGTGCACGCCTGTATAATGGAAATGACATAATAAGAAGAAATTGCATTAAAGGATTTTTTTTTATTTTTTCCTGGTGGTACCAATTTTCAACCATTATGTTGATTTGAAAAAGAGCATAATATTCCTGTAACGCTGATAGACCTGCCAATTCCAACCATCTGTGCCAACATCGGAAGTATCCTCCAGCTCAAAACATTCAGCTTGTCCAGTGTAATTATAGAAAATGCTTACTCCTTCAAATACACGCTCCAGTGTGCTAGTCCCATCAGGACAATCGTCAATCTTTCTGCAAACCTACAAGATGAGCCAAACGACTATTTTGATTTACCGCTGAAGAAAAAACCATTCCTGAAGATTCTCATAGACAAATATTCTTAAGCAACACAGCCCTGAAAGGGAAGACTAAAGAGAAACAGGAAATCACACGGTTAGAACTCTATAGTATTCATGCATATCTAAAAAAAAGCAAAACGGTCTCTGCCACAAATTTATGGTCTTAATTCCTAAGATAAGATGTAAATGCCACAGACCGAAAAAAAGAAAAAAGAAAAAAAGAAGAAGATGTAAATGCCAATTGCCATTATTCTAAAAGTGACAACAATTCGCAAGCACGGTTATTTGAAAAAAAAAACTTGTTTCATTGAAGAAATCATAATCCAATGAGAAAGATTACAATGATTGAACTTGCTGTATTATTTGAGACAGATAATTATAAACTCGAAACAGATACACAGAAGACACCCTGGTATAGGGAATTAAGGAACTTGGATGCATTTTCTTTTCCTAGATTAATAATTTTCAAGAACATTTCATTTGCACATCCCAGAGAGGCTGGGATATATAGGACATGGTACATTCACATCACACGAGATCAATGGTTAATAATTGGTTTCAAGCAAACTATAATCATGGGGTATAATAGCTAACAATGCACTGTGAGAAAATGATCAACTGACCTCCTTTATGGGGTGTCCAGGCAAAGGCATTACAAATTCAGCAGGATATGGGTAGTTAACCATTGCCAAATAGCTATATGCTGAGTCTAACCAGTCCGAAAGATCATCTATCTTCTTTAATTCACTGAAAAATGGTTTTGATCAGCGGAAACCCAGTGGCAGTTAAGAAGAATTCAAGTATAAACAAGACCATCTCCACTCTCCACTAAAAAACATATGTTCCGTACCGACATAAGCGGAAAGTTTTTGTCAGCTGGACAAGGCCATTATCCTTCTGTCCCTCAGTTACTAGTGCATCCCATGACTCTTTTATAGTGTTAAAGCAGCTACTACTTTCGCGCTACGGGATATAAGATGGAGGTAATATTCCGCCAATATCATAGCACAACACAAAAGCACAAAGCAAAACAAACATACAAGATGCACAATTGCACAAGTTACCCTGAAATCATTAGAAACAATGTTGTAAAACGTTTCTGTTGGCACAATATCTTCAAATTGAAGAATCGGCGCGGAAGAAGCAAGTGCACCAATTGCAATGTGAGGATACTTAAGCCTCATCCAAGCTGCTAACACTGTTTTCAACATCATTAAAAAGCAAAGCATCAAACATTTTCATGGTTTCATCAAATCTAAAACAAATTTCAACTTTCACTAAAACAGGGCATTACTAATTCACATACTTCCGCCATACGATCCACCGAAGAGCACCACCGGGCAACCTTCCGCCGATAAATTTCGCTTGAGCTCCGTGATTAGTACAGCGAAATCGGCTAGGGCTTGCTCGGCGGTAAGAAACGACAGTGTACTGGCATTCTTATACGCCTCTTCCTCACTCCCGTACGGCATAGACTCTCCATAGTACCGGTGCTGCCAACCAATTCCAAAAACCAAATTAACTTTCCTTCTTTTGACCTTTTTTTTGTTTGTAATTTTCTAGGGAACCAAACAGAAACTTACTTCGGGAAAGAGAACCATGGCCCCGAAGCGAGGGGCAAGCTCCCAGACGAAGCCCGTGTTTTCGGCGAACCACTCGATGCCGCCTTCGTTGCCGCAGTAGAAGAAGATGGGGCCAAGCCGCTGTGCGCCCACCCAGTGCTCGGTGTTGATCAGATACCGATGCTGGAACTTCGGGGTGTCCGTGAAGCTGAAGTGGTCAAGCCGCTGAGCGAAATATCGGGTTTCGTATCGGATTTTCGGTTGCTGTTGTTGCCGGTGCGGCGGTCGAGGTTTTGGCGTAGTAGTTGAGAATTTGCCCAGGAAGCGTGGGGTCCATTTGGAGGAGGAGGGGGAATTGGACGGTTGCGGTGCAAGGGAGGGCGGGAATGAAGTGATGACGACGGCGATGATGACGACGACGATGATCGGGAGAGGAAGTTTGGGGTTTGGCATGTTTTGCTGTTTGAGGGAGTGAACTGGTTTTTTTCCAGGAGGTGTTTTCGTTTTTGGAAGGTGAGCTGGGGGGTTCGCTTCAGGGACCAGGATCCTCTCCTGAGCTAATAAGAGCAAGTCCCCTTGTGATTGCTCGTCGGGGGACAGGCACCCGGAAAGGGCCCGAGGGCCGGTTGGTAGGCCTCCAGCCTTGGAGAGCCCGAGTGAGGGTGGGAGTCCAAGGCCCGGGGGGGTGGTGAGTTGACAGGCATGTGGCCTAAGGCCCGTGACGTCAGGCCTGGGTCCGGCCTTTTTATTTTTATTTTTTTTGTGTCAGGCACGTGCCCCTCATTCGTGAGTGGGGGCACGTCGCCCGATAGGATTTCAGGGCATGGGCCCGCGCGAGGTAGAAAACCCAGTGACCGTTGGGAAGCCACGTGACTTCCCATGGTCCGTTCGATCCCAACGGCTCTTTTATACGAGCCGTCCGATTTACAACGATAATAAAAAAAAACTGATTTTATATCAATCGTTCAATCTGAGATTAACGGTTGATATTAATCTACTTTATAAATTAAAAAAAAAAGAAAAAATAGTTTTAAAATTAAGAAAAATTACCGTTGTGACACGTGGCATAATCTGGAGTGTTAGAATTCAAAAATTTTAAAATCCAACGGCAGAGATTAATTATTTGAATAAAAATTAAAAAAAATTGTAAAAAATCTGAAAAAATTGTAAAAAATCTGAAAAAAAATATGTAAAAAATTGTTTTTACTTTTCTATAAATACCAATTCTTTTCCATCTACCTTACACCACAATTTCAAAATTTCTCAACTACTTTCAATCAAATTCCTATCTTTCTCTCAAAGTTTCAATCCAATTTTTTTCCACAAAATGACTACTGATGCAGGTACGAATTGGTCGCTTCTTGAAGATGTTGCGTTATGCACTAGCTGGGTTGAAGTTACTCATAATTCCCTTACGGGTAATGATATGCAGTTGCGAGAAATGTGGAGTTCAATTCATACCAAATTTCTTGAGCAAATAGATGGGAAAGAACCAAAGAATCGATGTCCAGTCGTTGGAAAATACTTTGCCATTTCTTTAGTACGTGGAGAGATGCCTTGACACAAGCTAGTAGTAATGTTCGAAGTGGGGCAAATTATGCGGATGAGGTAAGAATATATTATAATTATTTGTTTGTATTATTATTTTGTTACCTAATTTGATTATAATTATTTGTTTGTATATTTATTTGTTACCTAATTTCATTATTATTATTTGTTTGTATTATTTATTTGTGACCTAATTTCATTAGTATTATTTGTTTGTATTATTTATTTGTGACCTAATTTCATTATTATTATTTGTTTGTATTATTTATTTGTTACCTAATAATTTGATTATTATTATTTGTTTGTATTATTTATTTGT